CTGGAGATACTCTGAACGCACCCTGGGTGTGCTTTCACCTGTCTTCTAAAAATCTGTATGCAGACTTAAAAACATTTTAGTAGACAATAACGGATTTCTAGGAATCCAGTTTATCCACACAGACGTTCGTCTGGACTTCTTTTGAGTCCCCTATTTACGTCTAGAACTGTTGTAATTAAGGACACATGTTCTTTCTAATTACATTCAAAGATGTAGGTTAAAAGTTAATTGGTGTTTAAAAACATCGCTATAGTGTCTTTTCATTTGGATATTGAGAATATCTACTAAAATGCTCTTTTAAGCAATTCTTAAACTTATATGACAATCATCAGGACAAAAAATGAAATAAAAATCACTTCAGTTTTTTAGCATGTCTGTTTTGTTTTTATTTCTACGATAAAGAAACAAGTTTCTCCACGTATATTCCATGTCTGAATCATAATCAGAAATTACTCTCAACCCTTTAATTAGGTGAAGAGGTTTTATTTTGAAAGAAATTTTATCAATATATGGAACAAAAGCTAAAAAATAATTTAGGATGCTTTAAAAATATTACAATGGCTTCCAAGCTTAGCTCTGTCATATCGTAATGTATCCTTGGTTTCATCAATCAATCACTTGATCAATTGAAGTACGGAGATCCAAAAGAATTAAGTATTCAGGAGTTCTAGATCAGCACTTTTGATTTTTATTGCAAAAGAAAAATTATCGATTGGTTTCAGCTTTCCCACTATTCTTTGTTTTCGAAACCAAATCAATATAATGGATAAGAACAAAAAATGAATGTTTTTCAACAATGCTTGCCTATCAATGCCGGAATAAATTCTTTCAGGCAATGATTTTACAAGCATATAATAAGGTGTAAAGCTAGGAATCTTTAAAAGATCGATGGAACATCAGAAACATATAGATATGATTTGATCCTGACGGCAACGATTGAAAAGAAGCTTCAGCTTCTGGTATCGACCAAATTCAGCTGACATCCTGTTGATAAGAGATTGACCATTTATTTGAATATAAAATTTTAGTTTATGTAAATGTTAAATACATGCATAATTGTTTAGTCATCACAGTAACTTATCAATGGGTTCATTTTTTAAAATACTCCTGACGGTAAATGAAACATACATGCATGTATTAACATGGTAACAAAGATACTTTTAAACATCACACAAATATTCTTTGTTTAAAAGGCTGTGGATTAATTACGCAGATTGGTTACAACCACTATGTAGTTGAAATTTACTTCTGATTTCAAACAGCAACTTCTGTCGTATTTCCACGACAATCAATATGTCGAAATATATTCTTTCTTTCCATTAATATGCAATTATGAATTAATCGTTATGAATATAAGATATCGACTTTTCTATTTTGTGAAGATTTTTTTTTCATCGGGTATCTTTAATAAATTCCTCTGGTTAATGTTGGACAATTCTGGTCTTTCTTTGAAAGGTAAATCGATGTAATATTTCAACAGATATGAATTAGAGTAATTCCTCTTTACTTCCAAAATAGTAAAAAAAAATTTCTAAAATCAAAAGTTATACATGTATTTTCTTCACCCTGACATTGAATAACCACGATTAAAAAAGCAAACAAAAAATCTTTTGTCCTCTGTCGGTGTGACTCCAAAGAAAGGCGTGATCGAGAATAAAACTCAGCAGCTCCAAGTCAATCACACATTACATTTACACGACTTCAAATACTTAACAATCTTTAAAACAAATACTTCTGTATTTATTTTTAGTGTCTGTACAAAAAAATTACACAAAATTAACAATGATAGCACCACGGATTCAGCATTGAACTGCCTTTCATTACAATGCAGCTTTTGTATGAAGTTTGTTTTTGTTAAAATTAGATAAAGTTACATAAAGTTTTTTTTACGCAAATACAAATGAAAGAAAAAACAAATTGAATGGCAGACAATCATAAAGTACATTAACCTTCAAGGTACAGGAAAAAAGATAAACCTAGATCAATGTCATCATAATATAAATAAATAGAGGAAGTACTTGTATGGCATTTGATCAATAAAATTTAATTAACTTAAACCTGTAATGCAAACTGATTATTTCAATCGAAAATGTAGCTTTGGTTGCTTTATCTTAATCATATGAAGAAAATGAAAAGGTGTTGTAAAAACAGTGAATTCGATAGGTGTTGATAATTGGAGAAAAACTATGAGAAAGATTAAGTAATTTTTCAAGCTTTTGGGATTTTACTAATCTTAAGCCTACAGCAAAAATATTCAGATTTTTAAATCTGTCCATAGAAACACAGGTTTGAATTTTAGAATAAATATCATTATCATGATATTGTAATGATTATTAATGACATATGATTATCAAAAACATATTGATTGAGAAAAGTAATTTTTATTTAGATTTAAACATATTTTATTGAACACAGTCAATGGGACTGGACACAAGTTATGCCAACTTAGATTGTCCTCTCCAACACAAACAAAAATAACAGAAACATATAGAAAAGTAATATTAATGTACATTTACAAACTTTGGAGTTTAAAACGGCATACTTTACGGTGGTGGAAAGTAATATCTCAGAATAGAAAATCCTGTTAAGGCCGATAATTCTTATTTACCTTGTAAAATTGGATTTTATATGGGCAGGCATTGCGACCCTTGACTTAAAAATAAAACTTGTACACTTTTTCTGTACGGAATTATTAACTCGTAATTGACATTAATACAAAAAAGTTTTACAAATGAAGTACATGCAGATGTAGGAAGTTCATTCAAAATCTTGCAGGGATCCTCAGCCAGTTACACAGACAAAAACAATCCTTTGAACATCTTACAGAAATCTTCAGCCAATTTAAGTGCTTCTTCCTTAAATATATACAAAGAACCCAAATCCCCTTTCAAAAAAAGGAAGAAAAAAAAAGATTTTAAATATGCTCTTTCTTGTAAGTTGAAAATTGAATTAAATTAAAACAGGTATTAGCTACATTTGTACTCATTTACACATCATTGTCACCTGAATTCCTTCAGAAGATTTTTTTCTCGTGTTGAAATATGCAATACAAGCTAATTCAGAGAATTTGTGTCCCCCGCTTAGGGAAAAATAAACCATGTGCAGTTCGGGGGTCGGAGGGGGGGGGGGGGTCGGATCCCCCTGACTGAATTTGTAGTAGAACTATTAAATGTATACAAAAAAGCAAATAAAATACATGTATGTCAATATGGATATAAAGATTTTATTGCTTATTCTTAATTATTTGTATAGAAGATTCTTTTTATATGGAATATTCATCACACTGTAATGAAGATTTTATGAGTTTTGTACAAGCTAGACCTCATAAATTTTTCATTTCACATGCTGAATACTATCATTTAGGAAAAAAAAAGTATTTCGAACAAAAAAAGAAAATGGATCGTCCTGGAATGGAACCCGGGACTTCTCACATGTGAAGCGAGAGACATACCTCTACACCACGGAAACGCTGTAAATTGACGAATATTATATGCAAAGATGAAGTCACATACATGTATTTATATATTCACTACATTGCAAAATTTTACAAAATTCTCTTTTAACCTTTATTAAACAGTTCTAATGTAAAAGAATATAAAGTTACACACAGACATAATGTATAAATTTACGCCCTTGAAAAATAGCGACTGTATTACCTCAAAATCAATAGAGGTCTTACTTAGGACACAGGGATTTGTTATGTAAAATTTCATTGCAAAAGCTCAAAGGGTTCTCGAGATATCGCGCGGAAACGAAAGTGTTATAACAGACAGAATTTGCGAATTTATGACCTTGACCTTTGACCTTTTGACCTCAAAATCAATAGGGTTCTTTTTTAGTCCATAGGGAGTTGATATGCAAAATTTCATTGCAAAAGATCGTGTGGAAATGAAAGCGTTACAGACAGAATTTGCAGAATGACCTTTGACTTTTGACCTCAAAATCAATAGGGTTCTTTTTTAGTCCATAGGGAGTTGATATGCAAAATTTCATTGCCAAAGCTCAAAGGGTTCTCCCACTTTTGAAGCGGGGGACAATAATACAGATAAAGTGTTTATGAAAAGATACAGGGGTACATGCAGGTAAAAACAAACATGCTCAAAAGTCCACTTCTTAATAATTAATTGGAGGAAAGTAAACACATAAAGATTTTGGATCAGATATCATCATTGACTGCCGACTGGTCACAACCGTCATGCCCCTCCCGTCATCATCATAAAAACGTTAAAATCGGAAGACATCCAGTTTTAAACAATGGCTAACTTGTACCAGAAAGACATTTATTTCGTCAATATTTTGATTCAATTACAGATTGTATTTGCAAAGGATGTTATATCAGTATTAGAATTAGCAAACTATTAACCTCGAACAAGATTGTTGATATTTTTGTATCATCAAATCATTTTTCAATAGCCTGATTCGTCCAAGAATTTGCTCGTACGTAGAACATGCAATTGTGTATCGAATCAACCGAGAGATATAAACTTTATTTTTAGACGATAATAATATACGATATATTTGCTACATAAGTAAATAAGGAAAGTTAACACAGAAAATTAGAAGTCGTCACGTTTATTATAAAATATTATAAAATACTATTTATGTTTTAAATAATGATTGTTCGAATACACAAATGATATTTGAACAATATTCAATTCAAGATTTTTTTTATCAGAAATATTTTAAGTGTTTATCTTAAAAATATTTTACAAATTAAAGGACATAAGGGAAAAATAGAATTAGGAGGGTAGGTGCTCAAATCTGTTCAAACAAACAAAACAAAAATTGATTACGAAAGATGTAAACATGTATGTAATATTGATAATAAAAATAAGGAAAGATTCAGAGTAGAGAATGAAATTCTAAGCATTTATGAAGATTTTTTTCAAATAACAGATTGCCTTTTCTTCTATTTTTCATCAAAATTGATTTTGATACGTTGTTCTTGTATATTTGTTCAAATACGAGACAAATAGTTGTAACTTAATCCTGACACCTACCTCCCTGCATCTTGTAGGATCCTTTGCTCCTTTAATTCGTTAAGCTGTTATATGCTCTCTATGTATCCAATGTTCTTTTTCCATCTAAAGAAGTATTGACATCCCAACACAATAAATGAATTGATGTTTCCCTAAAAGAAAATGACATATACATCCCTGTTTAGTTTATTGAGCATTTCTAAATTGAAATTTCCTTAACTAGTTTTCAATTGCACTAAGGCCTGCTGTGCTTCCCTCTTCAATGATCGTGTTTGTTTTTTAAACCATATAACTCTTGAAGGCTCTAATAAGGATATTGCAAGCCTGAATTTTTTAATTAACCACAAAATTGAATTCTTATAGTGCTAACGATCTTTTTTTTTTAACAACAAAAGATTTCAACAATCTGTAAACAAAAGACGTTTGATTACTTTTTCCCGCCCAATTAATGCCAATTCCATAAATTTTTCTTTCCTTTTTGTTTATTTCTTATTCTTTTTAAATAGCAAATTCAGGTACTTAATTTTCCTGAATCAAAATGGAAATTAAACAACACTACACACTTATCATGCTTTCTTAATAAAGGAAATCCATAATGACCTGAGAGAGATAAGTAAAACAATATAGAGCTGACAACAAATAAAGAATAGTCATTGTCACAAAATCACCATGTCTTTTCATCAACCTAAGATTGTCATTGATAGAATTTGGACACTATTTGATGATTTCAGAGATTTTTTTTTAAAATCATTCATGATTCTTTTTGTTTTAAAATACCTTTTAGTTTTATTATTGTTCGATGCCTTCTTTATTACATGTCTGTCATTGGAAGGTTATAAAACATTTAATCATAAAATTTTTAAGAGTTATCGTTCTTTTCATTGTTCAGAAGTCAGTGCTTTTACTCTGTGTAAGAGGTGAAAAATATTAAAACATGTTTCTTCTACTAAAACTCACTTTAAATGGAAAGTGATTATTTGACGTGTCCGACATCACAATTTTCAAATATAACAATTTTAATCTGACGGTAAATTCGTTAGGAGAACTGTGGCATATAAGAGTTTTGTTAATAATTTTAAAAGTATGTTACTAATTTATGCACTTATAATAATGAAGTAAAGGTTGGTAAATAAACGTTTTACAAATATATATTTTTTTTTCGAAAATGGAAAATGTCGATTTGGAAACAAATCCTTCGATTTGGATATTTTACTTGAAAAAGACATTGAAGGTAATCTTACAACCCTGCTCTGTGATAAACGTAATGGCTTTTACTTTTCAATCGTCAACCTCCCTTACTTATGCTGCAACATACCTTCATCATCTTCATACAGAGTTTATTATCTCAGTTGATTCGATACGCAAGAGCATGTTCTACTATATTTCCATTTCTAATTTTTCTCTCTGTGATAACTCTTTGAAAGTTAGCGGAGTTAATTTCTTGATAATTTTACCGGAATGTAAATTAGGCAGGTCAGTAGGTCAGGAGCTAGGGAGGCTTAATATGCATGCAAATCTCGTGCGCATCTGTCTCTGAGTCTGACGCTAAGGAGGCCAAATATGCATGAAAATTTCGTGCGGCTGCCGTTGTGTTTGACGTCAGTGGGCGAGGACTATTGAAATTGGGTTGGGAATCCTCTTGTATAATTTAAATCGATGTGTGCATTTTTAAAGTCTAAATCTACAATTTTATTTCACAATGAAATGGAAATACAAGGAATCACTGTCTAGTTAGTTATAGTATGCCAGGACATCAGCAATAGTGGGAAACATAAATTTATCCATGTTTCCCACTATTGTTGATGCCCTGGCATACTATAACTAACTAGACAGTGATTCCTTAAATGTACAATTCCTAAAACGAGGTAAATTATTGAAATACAAATTGATGAAACAAGAATATCAGCAGTCTCATTTAAAGATATCATTTTGAATGTTCTATGGTCGATGCAATGACTCTGTCATCAAATACAATTTATCATTGAGTCAAATCTGATACATTATTATGCTAATTATGAGGCCATTATTAACACACTGAAGTGACGACGCATTTTCCGCTATTTCCCGATAATGACAAGGAGCACACGGCGGGTTTGACCGGTCGGCAGGGGATGCTCACTCCTCCATGCCACCTGATCCCACCTATCATGTTTTGTATTATTTTTTTTGGACCTTTTGAGCTTGAATACTGTTTGTTATCTTCATATATTTCATCTAAAATACAGTTAAAATAATGAACCATAAAAAGAACAACAATATCTTTACAAATCTTGTTTGCTGGAACCATAACACATTGTTCATGCAGTTTTTTTTTCTAATATTTTATTAACTCCAATTTTGTGAAAATAATAAGGATAGATGGTTCGCTTAGTTCCTTTTAAATATCTTTTACGATTCCTTAACATTTTTCTAAAAGACATTCTGACAAAGTGTTTAGGTCTTTTTCTTACTTCTTTTTTAAAACTATATTTTTATATGTTTTCCTCCTTTTTTATGTTAAGCCAAAACGTCTGAATAATTTTTTTCGAAAAATTCATAATACAATTGAAAGAATTGAAGTTTCTATGCTTAACGAGAGATCTGGGTCCCCTGTATTAAGGTTATTTTAAAAAGAAGTTTGGTTTTAGGCCTTCATTTTTAGCCATATGTATATTAAGATCACAGGTAAGATGTGTCCAAAGGGGCAGTAGTTTAAAGATGTAGAAAAACAAGAACGCAGTTAAGAGGACTTTGTTTTAGATTTCAAAATTTGGGTACTTATAGATGAAATATATGAAAATAACATATAGCATTCATCCTTCGGATTGAGACAGTGTAATCCGAGGTTCTGTGTCGCAGTAGGTGCTGGAACGAAAAAGATCCCTGACTGCTTAATGGTCCTAGTATGAGTATAGATCAGAATTTGAAGCCCTCCACCGGCAAGTGTTGACGTCCCCAAGTCGGTGAAAATTTCTCTAGAGGGAGGTTAAACAACAATCAATCAATCAATCAATCAATCAACCAACAGTCCATTCAAACAAAACTAATTAGGAGCAGAGCAAAAACAAATTCAGAAGTGTTGAAACAACAGTTTGGGAAGTCTGTAGGAAAGGCACGGTGAAGACTTGGTGGAATGCAATATTGAAAGTGTTACTTTGATGTGATGAATATTGTTTCATTGGATAATACATAGTAGTTATTTTAATTTATTAAGTATTTTTATATATAATGGGCGCTGTATTACTATTATGATAATCAATGAAGGATATGGAGATAACAAACAGTATTCAATATCAAAGTCCATAGTACAATACAAAATAGGAGCAGAGCAAACACGGACCTCCAAAACATCAGATGTGGGATCAGGTGTCATGGGTGAGTAAGTATCCTCTGTCGACCGGTCACACCCGTCGTGTGCTCCTTGTCATGATCGGGAAATAACGGGAAAATCCGTTGTCAATTCAGTGTATAAATAATGGACTAACAATTAATATGAAAAACGTCAGTCAGCATTTGACTCAATGATAAATTGTATTTGCTGACAAGGTCATTGTATCGACCAAAGAACTTACGAAATGATGACTTTAAACGAGACTGCTGATATCCCTGTTTCATCAACTTGTTTGTCAATAATTCGCGTCGTTTTAGAAATTTTTCATACGCAGAGCATGCTCTTGCGTATCGAGCCAACTGAGATATATAAACTCCGTATGCAGGTGATGAAGGTATTTTGCTGCACAAGTAAGGGAAGTTGACGATAGAAAAGTTAAAGTCATCACGTTTATCATAGAGCTTGATTGTTAGATTACCATTAAAGTCTTTTTCAAGTAAAATGTCCAAGTATGAAACAGATGTGTCAGACTATGTGGTATCTTTTATCTCAAGCTCACCAGGATATATCGTATCGACAAAGGAATGCAAATTACCATTGCTTATTTACAATACGTCGACAATATATCTTAATGTTGAATTGAAGGCTACAGCAAGTGTTTTCTTTTTTCACGCATAACATTTTTCACAAACACTGCTTCAAATGAATGTAAAATTGGTCTGCTAATAACAGAGTGCAATTGGTACCCATGGGAATTCCAATAGATTGTTGGAAGGCCTTGTCTCCAAAAACCACATAGATATTGTCAATCAGAAACTTAAGCATCTTTTTATGTCAACTTCAGAGTACTTGTGTGTGCAATCCGAATGTGTTTTAACAAAATAATTAATTTTGCAAATGACCAATGACCAAGTAAGTGAATTGAAGTTTCATTTTTATTGAAAAAGCAACTGTCAATGATATCAAAAAGCCTGGACTTTAATTTTATCGTGGGGAATGGTTGTGTATAAAGTTGAAAAGTCGTAAGCTTTTAAGCTGTTGATTTTGGTAAAATCTTGTGATTTCAAATTGTCCAAAAGTTCTTTGGGATTTTTGAGTATCCACATCTGATTCACACCACTTCTTGAATATATTGTTGCACAGTATTCTTGAAGTTTTTCCTTCACTACTGTCAATATCTTAGTGAGGAGTAAAGAAAGAGGCTTGTTTGAATATTTACTGGAACCCGCAATGTATCTTTGTTTGTAAGGATTCTTATGAAGTTTTGGAATCCAATATATATATATGGTAGTTCAAAATCATTTTGGTTCTTCGGGATATCAAAAATATTCAAAACTGACATGCTGTTTATAATAATAAACATTATTTTAGATATATAATGAATATTTATTGATTTATTTAAGGACAGATGATACAAACAAACTTATGTCCAAAAAATTGAAAATAATAACTTGAGTAAAATGCATAAGTTTCACCGCATAGTTGTTTTTTTTTTATTTTTTATTCAAAATTTCACAAAAATGGGATTTGAAGTGAAAAATATTTGTTTAGATTAACAAGGGTGGTTTCAGAAGGGCATACTTTTGAACATCACAGAAGGTTTACAATTTCTTTATATTCTAGAAATTTGTTATTTGCATCATTTGCAATGAAAGACATCCATTTTTTTTGTTCGTATAATCTTTCCTTAATTAGCTTTATTTTGATCTGTTCAATATTGT